ATGTGCATTTAATCAAAAAATTAATTTTGAAAATTACTTGATTAATTGATTCTCATTAATGTTTCATTAGGTTAAAAATTTGCAATTGTTCACAATGTGAAATCTCTATAAATACTTTGTAAACCTATATGTTAAACATAGTTCAAAAGAATTTTTTTTTCTCTAATTTTTTGTGATAGATGAAGGCAAGAGAATAGTTCATGATCTATACAGAAGTGCAGCTATAATTGATCAACTAGTTGTTGTATCCTGGGAGACAGACGAACAATGATCTCAAGTACAATAAGAGTGACCGAAAATATGTCTTAAGGAAACTGTGTAACTGCAGGCCTCAACTCGTTTTCATTCAGTTGTTGCGATTCCAATCGTGTATTTATTTTACACTCCTTTCGATTATTTAATAGAATAATTTTTCATGTTATTAATCATTTTTTGTTTTATTCGAATCATTATTTAAATAAGATTTTCTTTTTTATTTTATCATCTTGGACTGTTGTACATCTAACAATCTTAAGACAAATTTTATCTTCTACCTTTCTAAAAATTTAGAGACGATTAGAAATCTTGGAGAAATTGTGAAAAGCAAATAAATTCGTTTTCGGGATTTATCTTGTCGTTTTAACGAATTTGCTTGATTTCAAAGTGGACAAATCTATTTAATAGAAATTGTCGTTAAAGTAACGTTGGTTACTGATTTTGTTTCATAATGTTGATTATGTTTGGTAACAAAATAAAAAAAAAAAAGAATAAATGTGATTCTTTATCTATGGATTTTCTTCCATATGTGGTTGGTGTCTATAAACTTCGAGCATTTAAAGAATTCATATAATTCTTTTTATGTTATGATATTATTTAGTAATATCATTATGGTAAGATTTGACACATAAAAGTGCATATAAATATTAATCATGATACTATACATTATATTATTACTATGGGTAGTATTACCATATAACTTTTGGTTATTTAATATGGAATATTAAATATGACATAAATAAAGTATATATTTAGTATTTATAATTATTATTAAATGTTATAATAATTATTGATTGTGTTTTGTAAACACTATAATTTTATTGTACTAATAATTTCTTTTGAGAAATTTTGTAGATGCAAATGAATTCGAAGTTTAATCCAAGGCTTTTAATCATTAAGTTGTCAAAAGTAAAATAAAAATAATAATTCTTTTTTATTGTGTTGCCAAAAATAAAATCAAATGATTAGTTCCTTTTGATTATTGGGTTGCCAAAATTAAAAATAAAAGGAATAGTTACTTTTGATTACTTGGTTGTGGAAATTAAAATCAAAGGATTGATTCATTTTTTATTATTGAGTTGCTAAAATTAAAGTATTAATTCCTTTTGATTTCTATTTTTTAAACATAATTGGTTGTCATGATATATTTGTTTATGGTGTTAGTGTTACTAATCCATTCGTTTAACAGAATATATAAACTTAAAAAAAATGAGAGAGAAATAAATCCAATGATTTATTTCATTGTTAGAATTTTGAGTTGATTATAACTTCGTAAGAAAAATAAATCGTTGAATTAATTTCCTTGAAAATCTTAAATGATTCTAACTTTGTAAGGAAAATAAATAGTTGAATTTATTTCCTTAAGAATCTTGGATGATTCTAATTTTGTAAGGAAAATAAATTGTTTAATTTATTTCCTTAGAATCTTGAATGATTCTAAACTTATAAGAAAAATAAATAATTGGATTTCTTTTCTTGAGAAAAAGTAAATAAATTGTAAAATTTATTTTCTTGATAATCTTGAATAAAGAAATAACTTGTTGAATTTATTTTCTTAGGAAACTTAAATGATTCAAGTTTGTAAAAGGAAATAAATCGTTGAATTTATTGTCTTGTTTTGTAAAAGGAAATAAATCGTTGGATTTTTTTCTATTTAGTAAAAAAATCATTGAATTTAGTTTCCTAAGAATCTTATATGATTTTGTTTTTTAAAATAAAATAAATCGTTGAATTTATTTTCTTGTTTTGTAAAAGGAAATAATCATTGAACTTATTTTCCTATTTTATAAAAAATAAATTGTTGAATTTATTTTCCTATTTTGTAAAAGAAAATAAATCATTGAATTTATTTACTAAGAATCTTGTATGATTCTGGTTTGTAAAAGGAAATAAATCGTTGAATTTATTTTCCTATTTTGTAAAATAAAATAAATCGTTAGATTTATTTTCCTTGTTTGTAAAAGAAAACAAATTGATAAATTTATTTTATTGGAAATTAAGTATGATTATACTTTAAAAAAGGAAAATAAATTATTAAATTTATATTTCTTGAGAATCAAGTATGATTCTATTTTCTAATAAAGAAAAAAATCATTAAATTCATTTCTTGAAAATTTTGATGTGTTTATAAAGTGAGATCTTGAAAATAAATTTACTTTGAGAATTTAATTTCTGTCATTTTAACGAGTTTATTTGATCTACTTTTACAAACAATATGACATAAATATTTTATTACCTTCATTGGTGATAGCAAGAAGTATTGATATACATTTGCTAAAGAGAAAAAGTGAAGCTATAGAGAAATTTATTCTCTATAAACTGAAAGTTGAAAATCAACTTAATAAAAATATTAAAATGGTAAGAAGTGATTATGATGGTGAATAAATTATTCATGAAGTGACATCATCATACTTTCCTGAATTAAATGGAGTAGCAAAAGCAGAATAATTAATTCTTAAAAAGGAAATGATGAATGCAAAGCTAAGAAGTTCTGGGTTATCACATAACATGTGGGGAAGCTGTTTTCAGCTAATTACCTTTCAAATAAGGTTCTTCGGGGGAAAAATGACAAGACACCATATGAGTTATAATAATATAGAAAATATTTTTACAATTACTTAAAAAAATGTGGGGTGTCTTGTAAAGATAATGATCTCATTATTGAAGGAAACGAAAATAAACTCCAACATGGTGGATTCTATTTTCATTGGCTATATAAATTATAACAAGACATGTTGATATCTTGTGTATGAATTAAAGAACCTTGTAACTAGAATCAAAGAATGCTTGTTCTTTGAAGATATTTGATCGAAAACTGTCAATAAAGATAAGTCTAGATGTTCAACAAGATGTTGAATCAGAGATACTATCATGATGACAAAGGAGTGTGAAAAATGTGTGTATGTCAAATTATATACGTCCTATGTTGTTGACATACTAATTGTTATAAGTAACAATGAAATGGTAAAATGTGTCAAAGATATGTTAAATTCAAGATTTGACATGAAAAAAATATGAGGCTGATTGATTAACTTTGGACATCCAAAATTTAACATCCTTATGAGGGTCTCGTATTGATGAATTCACACTACATGGACAAAATAAGTTTGACAAGGATGTTTTCAGCATAGCTAGAACTCCAATGAATACGAATCAACATTTGTTAAAAAAAAAATAGGTTAAAAATGTTAACCAAATGGAATATGCAATGGTAATAAAATGTCTAAATAGTGTGTACCCACAATATTCATATACTGAAACAAACGAAATTTAATATAATATTTTTTTCATATTATTAATCATTTTTGTTTTATTCTTGATTCATGTACAAGAACTTTGTGACGATATATTTATGTGAAATTAAATGTTATTTGTCGTGACTTATGTGAATCAATTATTTAAATAAGAATTTATTTTTATTTCATCGTCTCGGATTGTTATATTTCTAACAAAAACATCTTAATTAAGAAAAGTCAAAATTTTCCTACTATGTTCTAAACAATATTTTCCTTAGAATAATATGAATCATGTTTTTTAACTCATTTAAGGACTTCATTATCATTGATAAAAGAGAGTATTGTTCTCTTTAAATATGAATAGTTATACTTACAAAATCTATATTGTTGTCAATAATTAAGGAACGTTTTGAGTAAATACTTCTTATAATTACTTTAGATCATTCAAAAAATATATAACACGTGTTTTGATGAATCAAACAAGCTAATAAGAAATTGACAGAGTTAACAAATGTTGTAGTCTTGGATCCTTAAATATTTAAGTTTGAACTCGTGAAGTGTAGATTTATTAACCCATCTCATATTTCGTAATGATTAATTTTGATCAATATATATGTATGCGCGTGCGTGCGTCCGTGTGTTAACCGTATTTAAAATTCTTTTATTCATTCGATTGATTAATTAATATTAACTAATTTTTGTTAACTGATTATAATATTAACTAATATTATAACTATAATATAATTTTAAAAATTTAAATTAAGTCGGTCAAATTTTATCTCTAACGTATAAGAAGTATATGTTCAAAAAAAATTTAGTCATTGACAACACATACACATCCGTACAAACGGAGTTGTTTCAACATGAAACCTCTAAGAATAATAACATTCTCTTCTACCATGGAAGTCATTCAATGAGTTTGAAAAATATAGACTTAAACGTGTTTAATCGCATATCTTTTTAATTTTTTTCCAAATATTATCCTTTTAATTTATGAATAAAGAATATTCAAATGATTCAACCTTAACCTGGCTTGGTTGATTAGGTTAATTTTGCAATAATTAAAGCCATCTTGCTGCCTAAGATTTAGTTTTCTTTTCTAGGGCTATTATTATTTCTTTGCTTGAAAGCAAAGAATGAACCCCTTCACCATGTGAAACATAACTAAACACACTTTGCCCTGATCATTATATACTCTAGACCACCATACTAAAATAATTGATTTTATTTTTCAATATTTAATTTAAATAAATATAATTAATTAAATTATAAGTCAACGAAAAAATACATTAAATTTAATAAAAAAATCAATGAAGATGAGTTCAATATTGGCCACCTAATATGGGTGATTAGTAGGAAAGCATAACAGAAAAAAAATGGAAAGAACACTAATAAAACCAACACTTTGTCATGGTAATATACAACTTCACCTCTGCAAATTTGTTAGTTTTTAGTTGGCCAATCTTGTTCATCTCCATTAAAATAAAACCAAAAACCCACCATTTCTAGATGACTTTAAAAGGGGGAGGAGACGTCAAGTCTTTGCGTTTGCATTTGCATAGAGTTTACGATCATCTCTGTGAATCTGCCATGGAAGAGAGCTCGAGAACTCGAAGCAACATCATCATGAGAAGATCAATCTACACTTTCCTTCAAAACTATCATTATTTCACCACAACAGCAGCGATCCTAGCTTTCCCATACTCACTTTTGATCCTCGTTTCGCAGTTCTCCGTCCCTTATTATCCTCTGTTACCAGCAATCCACAGCCACCTCGAAGCCATTTTTGCGTCGGCCGAGTTGCCGCCCTTGTCGGAATTCTTCACGTTCCTCGGTTTCAAGATTTCCCAGACCATTTCTTCATCGATCTTTGCTCTCCCTTTCACCCTTTCTTTCTTGCTGTTGTCCAAAGCCTCCATTATTCTCCTCCTCAAAAGCAAAAACCCGAAATCCCCACCACCTTGTTTCTCTTCAATTTTTTCTCTTTACAAGCCTCTGTTTTCCACTTTCGTATGCAATTCCTTCCTACTTTTGGCTGCAAATTCGACGGCTTTCTCGAATTTGTTCTTTGGGTTCTCATTATCTTCCAATTGGGTCACCTTCATGTCGGCTGCCGGTGCTGTTGTTTATTCGATGATTCTTGCCAATGCCATTATAGTTTGTAACTTAGCTTTGGTTTCTTCTGGAATGGAGAAATCCGGTGGGTATTTGGCGATTGTAAAGGCTTGTTTTTTTGATAAAGGGGAAGACTTTGACTGCTTTGGCATTGGCGGTGCCTGGGAATCTGGCGTTGGCTGCCATTGAAGCTCTGTTCCATTACCGTGTTGTGAGAGCTTATGGTGGCGGTGGTGATTTCAATGCCTTTTCGATGATTATGGAAGGGTTTTGATTGCTTACTTGTACTCCATTTTTTTGTTCTTGATACTGTTGTGGGTTCCATGTTCTTCAAGAGCTGCAAAACTGGGGTGTTTGGATCGGGAAGGCAGGTATTGTTACAAGATTGAGGTTGTTGCAGAGAAATATGGAAATGCCTATGTAAAGCTGAAGAACATCGAGGATTTCCATAGGTAAAAAGATCAAGTCTTGGGTTTCAAAGCGAAAAGATGAACAAAAATCTGCTAATGTAAATTCATACAAACAAGATTCGTTTTCTGGGAAAATATGGATTCAAAACTCAAACGAGGGGTTCTTTCTTAATAATCCCTTTCGAAATTCTGATACAATTTGTTTTGGAATTTGGGGACCGATTCGTGTGTGCTCAACAAGACTAAATACTGAAGTCATGGGAAAGTTCCATATTATATGCATGCCTTATTAAACTTGAATACAGTGTTTATTAGTGTATCATGTTCGTGTCTAAACAAAGAAACTCTAAACACGATTCTTAGAATATGACTAGACTCCGTAGAAGTTGCGGTGTAAATGGATGGAGCTTGAACGAATAAGGTTATTTTTGTGTTCGTTTGTTTATTTTAAAGGTGTTCATATTAGTGTTTAATATCATGTTCGTGTTCGTTTATTTAATTTAAAATTATCATCTATTTTAAATTTTTTCTATGCATTTTTTTATTGAAAATCTGTTTTATCCCCCTGGAATTTTGATTCACCATTTGTAGGTTTAAGTTCACCTTCTAACATAAAATCTTACGTCCGTCTCTGATGTTTATGTTTATTCGTTTAACGTTCACGAACATGCCCACAACATAGTCATTTAAATGTTGGTAAACATACACGTTTAACGTTTGTGATCGTTTAACATTCATTTATATGTTGTTTATATGTTGGTGAACATGTTCATTTAGAGTTGGCAAACATGTTAATTTGCATGTCAAAATGATAAAACTATGCCACTAGTGTTTAGATTTCTTAAGCTTCATAATTTAAAATCTAAATTTCATAATATATTCAATTTAGTCCTTACATTTATCAATGTTTAAAATGTAAAAAAAATAAAATATAAATGAACTTATAAACGAGCTTATTTATGAATATAAACGAACAAGCCGATAAATGAGCTCATAAACGAACCAAACACACCTTTGTTCATGTTTGTTCGTTTATTAATTAAACATAAAAAATATATTCATACTAGTTTATTTAACTTAACAGACGAACATAAATATAAACATTATACAAACACAGCTCGTTCATCAAACGCTCTATTCATTTACACACCCCCACATAGAGGCTCAAGCATTGAGCTTTAAATTTTGAATCGACCTTGAACTCGAGCTCTCTTACAGCTCCACCTCGAGAAATAGTTAAAATACAAGAGAAGAAACGGACAATTCCATGAATTGCTTCTTGATTGAGGAATGAAACGAAATCACATCCAATGAAACGAAAGAAACCAATAGAGGTTAAAAAATCAGCAGACTATATATTCCGGGTGCTATATTACAGTTACATCAAGAAAGCCCCTCTTCCAATTTCTCTTTTTTCTAAAACCTAACATCCTGTACAACCTCTTCCTATGGAGGGGCCTTTTTCATGGGGGGGGGGAACGAAACAAAAGACTATGTTACAAGAATACAAGATAAAGAATTGAATTCTACACTATGTGGATGGTTAGAGCTTTGTACACTATATGTCTTCATGGTACAGTACTGGGTCTCACCGGCTTCTACGATTCCACAGGCATCCATTTTGATGCCGAAACAAATACGACAAGATGAATGATGGAAGATGAAAAGAAATCATTCATCACCAGGACTTGCCGGTCCACCCAGTTTAGGATTCAGAAAATAATGCTAGAAGGGTCATAGCAGTTACCTTGATAGCGTGCATTTTAAACCTCTGGCTACTCTACTCATAACCCACTCTATGCGAAGTTCGGTCCGACTACTCCAAAAGGAATTTCACTGAATTATTCGTAGTTATGTGATTTGGATATCTTCCCATTGAAAATGTCTCCCGAAACCTTATGCATAATTCAAGTGGCCTGAAAGCCCCGTTTACGACACCTCTGAAGGCATGAAATAGGAGGCACATCAAAAGTCCTCGAGAAGCAGCGGTTCCTGTAATTCAGTCATACTCATCGGCACGGGTATCTGCTGATTGGAAGGAGCTTACTATCTTGTAGGAATAGAGAAACTGATTTTCAACTATTTTGCACCCTTCCTTTTAAGGTTGGTTGCCTTGGCTTTCTCCATTTCAGCCTCCTTCTCGGCTTTCTTCCTGTCCAGTTCAGCCTGTTTAACATTCTCTTCATGTGCTTTCCGAAACAACCTCACGAAATTTAAGAGCGTTGCAGTAACTGCATTGATCAATACAGGTCAGATTTGACCAACTTCACATCACTGTATAAAACTAGTATACAACATCAAATTTGACCGGTTCAACTTCAAATAACTTATAGATTATTCAGACTCGAGTGTGAGTATCAGTATGGATGCGTCAGACACAGATATGTGCAATTTCTTTCAAGATTTTTATGTATTTGGAAAGTCTTTCAGAGTATCATATCCCATACCCATATCCAGATGTGGATAAGGCACGGATAATTCAAGAAAACTAGAAAGGAGCAACATAGCAAATCACCGTATAGAACTAGTATACTGTGAGGAACATCTTTATTTAGAAAATAAAGAGAACCCTAACTAGGATTGTGATTTTGGTTTTTCAAAATTTGCAAATTCAAACTCGACTCAAACTTGATTCGAATAATTCGAAATTCGAGAAAAAGAAAGTTCAATTTTTTAATCAAATCGAGTTTTTCTCACCCCTAAATAAAAACAACGGCTTTAAATTGTCTTTTATACCTTTTCCCCAATTTTTCATATTTGGTTATTCAACTTATTTTATTGATTATAGTTTAACTTCCAGAAAATTTTAGCCCATTGACCATATGAGGACTGATATTTATTTCCATTTCATGTGGGTGGGGGAAGGGGGGAGGAATAGAAAAAGGGGGTTTAGTGTGGTGTGAAGGTTGGAGAAAAAGCAAAGAAAGAAAGCTGAATAAAATGCCTTCTAATATTCTTACTAAGAACATAGTAGTGAAGGCATAATCTATCTTAACCAAAACTCGGGTGCGAGTGTCGACAACTACACACCCAACATGGGCATGTTCAATTTTTTTTCATGTATATGGAGTTTCAAATCCCCAAACTAGAGGTTCCATGGGCCAGTCCAGACCGGATCATGACATTATTTTTAAATTTTCCAGACTCGACCTGACCCTGTGACCCACTTAAATAACCCATATTAAATTTAAATAAAAATCCTTTTAAATTATTTAAATAAAGTTTGAGTCGGACTGGGGGAGCCATCTCGTGGACAGGTCTATCCCATACCTATATCTGGATATGCAGCGTACGGTGTCCGATATAAGTATTCAAGAAAAACAAAGAGGCAGAGCAACAAAGGTCATAATAAGTATAGAGGTATAACTATAGAATCTACCTTGCTCAAATGGGCATCGGGCAGGATCCTCACCAAAATAGAGTGCAAGTGCATCTGCATTTCTACCCTGCCCACCAAAAAGTTGAAAGAACCTAAATGATTGAACATAATAAAGAGTTGGACAACAATGCATGATGTATCAACGAGAATGTTGACAGTTGGAAATTTACCACCATAGAATATAGATTTGTTAAGGACACCACCTCGGTCTCAGCAACAGAAATAAATTCCTTTAATGTCTGGATTAAAACAAGAAAAAAGAAATGTTTAGAAAAATGAAAGCATTCCGAAGATAAATGAAAAAGCAATTGATAGTGTTAGAAGTAGGTGACAATGCTACATAACAGATGATCACACCAATGCACCAGAAAACAATATAAAACCCAATGACGTTCAAATGGAAAGGACTGCCATGTAAGATCAAAGAACATTATCCGAAGGAACGTTCAAAACAGAGTATGATTTCTATCCATAGAAATTCTGACTTTCCACTATATTTACAATAATCACTTGTGCTGCAAAACTAATGCCTTTGCATGTTAAACTTTTAGGGGCATTACATGTTTACATACAATTTCCCTTATTGCATTCTATAAAATAGTTACACATGCAAAGGATGAAATAAAGGAAAGCTAGGCCTAGTAGCCAATCAGGAACTTCATCAATAGTCAACAAATAGAATATGATTGAATACAATAGTTGAATGGGGTAAGATACAGTGAAGACAATGCAACAAACCTAGTATAGCTACGTTGAATCATAAAAAGAAATGAAACAATTACGTACCTTCCGGAAAACATCAGATACAGGACCATCATTTTCAGAGGCAACCAGCTCCTGCTTAACCTTTTCTAATCCCTTAATTATAGCTTGCATTTCTTCTGCTAAAGATTTTAATTGTATCTGCGCAGGAGGGAAGACTTCAAACTAATATAGCATCATCAAACTACAAACCTAAAATGCTAAAAGACTGATGGAAACCTTAGTTGCAGCTTCAAGGCTAACAAATTCAAGGTGAAAATCCAGAAGTGTGGGGGCCTTGGCAGCTAGGACCTGAGCAAAAATAAACAGAGTTGAGACTCGATTCAAATTGACAGTTGCTGGTTGCATCAGAAACAAGTCTTCCAGTAGTAACATGACATATAAACTGGGCGTAAAACATAATTCAGGCAAATATTACATGAATCAGAATGAGCTTAATAACACCAGAGTAAAAGAAAAATTAGTGAACAAACCTTGCAAAGATAATGCATAAGTGTCATCTTGCTGGTAGCAGCACGTGTATCTGTGAGCTTTAGAAGACTGTCCAACTTAAATCCAACAGCAGAACCTGTATAAATGTAAATAGTTTGGAACTTCATATTAAAGTAACATGCAACAATTAAAAGATTTTCACCAACTCAAATCTGAACGGTTGATCAGCATTGAATGCACAAATATATAAATATAAATAAAAATAAAAAGAGGCAACACTTTGAACTAGTAGCTTTGGCAAGACACAAAAAAACAAAACTGGAACTAGTAGCATAAGAAGGAATAAAGCGGTGATGCATCAAGTAAACAAAATAGAAGACATAATTTTGGAAGCTGGACGTAAAACGACATATATGCATAACCCAATTAGAGTTCTAGATATTGATGAGGATGCATAGATGACTGCACCATTTAAGCATTCTTCTTTTGATTTGGATTTAAATACATGCCTTAGGAATCACATTTCTTTTTTTTTCTTTTTTTTAAATGCCAAGTTAGTATACATCTATGAAATTTAGAAACAACATAAACACCAAGATTCTAAGACGCCAGGCAACCTCAAAGATTAAGACAAACTAGGAACTAATGTGAGAAGTTTAGAAAAGCATATTAACTTTTCTTCTTACATCCAAGTAACATTTGGCATTTCTTCTAAAGAAGAGGAAGTTAGCGTGTGGGATTGTAAACTAAGCCTTAACAGCATCAACTATCAGAAATGATAAGCATAAACTGTGTATATGCCCCAAGACTATTCATATCAACAAGATTTCCAGTTTGAGATGCGGTAATGCCGTAAAATAATGTAATGTAACCTCACTTGAAACAAAGTATGTAAACACAAAAGCACGTATTATTCACATAAATGAGTCTAGGCAAACATCAAAGTAATACATTATGTGTTTAGCTTGTAGCTCTCTTCTCTACACAATGTTTTTTCATAAGCTGCAGTTCTAGCATTAAAGATAGAAACCAAAAGGAAAATTAAGCATGACACATACCCCTTGCGGTTCCTTGGTTCAATGTATTTCCCAGATAAAGAATTTTCTTCAAGATCTCCTTTAATTTAAGGGAATTCCGTACCTAAATAACCAATATAGAAGTAGTAAGACAAAGAATATACAAAAAGTGCAGTCAAGTCGCTTCAGAGATACTAATGATGTACCTCATTACATGCAGAATTTACAGTGTTTAAGCTCTTTTTAAATTCAGAAATCTGCAGGTGGTAAAAAAGTTAGAGGACACATGTCAAAGACTGGATTCAATAAAGCAAAAAGATCAAATCAGATTAACTAAGGAGATACCACCAAACCTGAGAACCGAACTGAATCTTGAAGGAAAACACTCTTAATTTTGATTCCACTCGTGGCACTTTCATCAGCTCCAAAAAGTACTGAAAAAAAGTTCAAAGCCAGTTAGTATTTATACGATTTTGCAAGATGGATCCAATGAAAGACGTAACAGGAAAAGTATCCAGGAACTAATTGTGTTAGCCAGAGTTTCTTCATAAAATAAATACCAGTCATTATCAGGTATTTTCTACAAATCTCATTGTTCTCTAGTGATTTACTTTTTATCTTTTTGATGTCAGATCAACCAAATAGCCTCTTGCACTTCCATTCACTGATACCTACTTAATAAAAATTAGGAGCATAGAAGCACAGGAGCTTTGTCAAGGGTAATTTTTCCCTGGAACATCCTTATATTTCTCTTCCTCCAAAAAAACCACAAAATCAAGTGAGGGATAAATCTATCAGTCTCCTAACCATATAATCATATATCCAAGACCTCATTCCTTTCCAAGAGAAGCATGCACCAACGTTGAGCAAAATGCATGGGGTGCAAAAATATTAAATGGTCATAATTTAGAAGTGAAGACAAAGGGAAAACAAATGTCAGAAGACTGCATTTGCAACAGGACAATTGCTATGCAACCATCAATCACTCTACCAATATAAAACACCCAAGTCAAACAATTTGACGAAGTTAGAAGATATGGCCAGAGGAAATTTTGCAGACCTGTTCACACTTCCCTAGACTCTCCTTGTCACCAGTGTAGCCCTAAAAAATCACATAGATAGTAAATCAACATCAAAGAAGAAAAAACTCAAAATGATAAAAGGATTCCTACCCTGATAATAAAAACAGTTTCGAATAGCTTAAAATTCAATACTGATCTAAGTATATGCTAAAGCTTCACCTTTAGAAGTTCCATTTCCTCTTTAGTTGGGCAAAATTTTATGAGATTTTCCACTTGATCAACATCTAATACTTTATCATCCATTGCTAGTACTGCAGCCTGAGAAAATAGATGGCAGCTATAAATGGCTAATAAACAAATAAATTGAAAACATTTGATTAAAATTAAGAAGAAAATGGAAAACGAGGAAGATAAAGAGGATCAATTCAAAGAAAATCCCATTTTCTTCCATGCATCCACTAATTTAGTCAAATATAGCATGAGAATCTAAGTAGCGTACACCAAGATGTAATATACTGAAGAAGCCAATGATCCTAAGGAGACCACCTCCTTGAGCACTTAAGTGCAAGTGTGCAACCACTAGTAAATAACATGAATCAAGTAAACTTTTTTCTTGCTCATATATATTACGGGGAAAAGTAAAGCTGCCATATTCCAAGTTCACATCAGTATTGATGATCATATAATACACTTCCTCTATTTGTGTTTAAATCCAGCTTACCATCATATCAGAAAGTGGCATCTTAACTTTAGTGAGCATAATTTCAGTGTTGTTGGCCCTCCTCAAGTCAATCTACAATCCAATAAAAAATGGTCAATGATGAGATCAAAGAAGGGTTAAATAGGAATCACAGTGATGGTCCTATAAAGTTCGACGAATGTAATACACAAACTTTTTTACATTTTAGCATTTCTAGGTGTTCTAGTAATCCTGAAGAGGGTTTTTAACGAGGCCTCCACTTCTTATGAAAAAAAAAGGAAAGGTAGTTTTACATCAATTCTATGACCCAACCCAAGAATACAGAAAAACATAAGAACATCAGCGATAGAAATCACGGAGAATGTACCTAGTCCCAATAGAACTTCGTAATGGTTAGAGCTTGAATCTCAGAATGGTATACCTAGTCCCAACAGGACCTCCTAGTGGCTAGAGCTTGGATCTCAGAATGGGATTTATGGGATCAAGAGGATCACCTCCCCTTGCATTGTCAAAATACTTAAGTCCCCCCCCCCAAAAAAAATAAAGGATATATATTGAATAAAACCTCATTAATATCATCAACTTGTAGCTTTTTTTGGAACAAAAAAAGAAGAAGTGCATATCATTAATGCATAGTCAAAATACTTATGTTCCCCCAAAAATAAAGGATGTATATAGAATAAAGCTTCATTAATACCATCAAGTTGTAGCTTTTTCTTTGGAATAAAAAGAGAACTGTATATCATTAGTTCGAACCAAAAGACAAAGACTAGAAATCCTTTTCTCATGAAAACATAGAATCCTGTACTGTATGTTTAAAATAATGAATTCTTTGATTTCTAATAGTGTGAATCTTGTTCATTCAGTCTAAGGTGATTCAGTAACAGTACTACAATCACCGACAAAGAAACATGTATATGGTTTATTCAAAAATAAAGAAATAAACTCCAGATTACCAAGTGAACTTTTCCAGGCTTTGATCCAGCCGATTTGAGTTGTCCTCCAGATTTACCCCCAGCATCAGCAGGTTTAGGAACAACAGAAGAGAAAAGAGTCTCAATCTCCGACACATCAAATTCAGGTGCACTGGGAAAGAAGGCAATGTCAACAAATACAAATTGGAAATATATAATGTCATGGAATCTTAGCATAAATATCTAGTCAGAATTTATCAATTATATAGGTGAACCATACAAAAGGGGTAAAAATCAGTATAAGATATAATACATTTGAGGCTCTCCATATCTTTGCAATTCTTCCCATAAGCTTCCTTGAACTGCCCTTGTAACCTTGCTCCAGTGTAATGGTTTTAAGGAAGATCTCCGAGGTGCTGCTGCCCCAGGACGCGACAGCCCACGCCCTCTTCCTCTCACATCAACTGCTCTAGCACCCCCTGGTGGAGGCGGAGGTGCACCACAAGGAGCTCCAGGTGGAGCTGGTGGGCCAAGAGCTCGACCTCCAAGTGGAGGCGGTGGAGGTGGTCTTCCACCTGGAGGAGGTGGAGGAGCACTACGCATAGGAGGTGGGGGCGGTGCAGGCGCTCCACGCATAGGAGGTGGGGGCGGTGCAGGCGCTCCACGCATAGGAGGTGGAGGCGGTGTTGGCACTCCACGCATGGGAGGTGGGGGTGGTGCAGGCGCTCCTCGCACAGGAGGTGGGAGTGGTGCCAGTGATCCATGGGAAGGTGGAGGTGGAGGGGGTGGTGCTCCACGTGGAGGAGGAGGTGGTGGTGGTGGTGCTTGATGTGGCGGAGGAGGTGGAGGTGGCACTCCACGAGAAAGGGAAGGAGGTGGAGGGGCACCAGACATTAACGGGGGTGGTGGAGGTGGGGCACCAGACATCAATGGGGGAGGAGGAGGGGGTGGTGGTGCTCGATGCGGGGGAGGAGGTGGCACTCCACGCGAAGGAGTAAGTGTTGGAGGAGGGGAACCAGACATCAATGTGGGTTGTGGAGGTGGGGCAGTAGACTTCAATGAGGGCAGTGGAGGTGGAGGTGGAGGGGCAGGTGGTTTCAATGGGGGTGGTGGTGGAGGTGGAGGAGGTGCGGTAGTAGACTTCCATGCAGATGGTGTAGGCGGCGGCAGTGGTGGAGAAGCCCCATGATGAGGAGGCACTGGTGGAGGCGGGGGAGCTGGAGCTCTAGGCAATGGAGGGGGCGGGGGTGGAGGAGGGGCTGACAGCGTTCCATGCATGAAGGATGGAGTCATAGCACCTGGAAATGGTGGAGGAGGGGGAGTGGGAGGAGGAACATTACCAGGTTTTGATGTGCTTGACTTGACAGGAATAATGTGAGGAGGTGAACATGCTACACTAGGGGCATCTGAAAAATACCCAGATTTCCAAGGTGGTGGAGCTGGAGGAGGAGGCAAAACCAGTTCGGCAGCCTGCTTTCTAGAAAATGGGGGAGGCGGGGGAGGAGGAGGAGGTGGTGGCGCCGGTTGAGATGGTGAGTGTTTAGGTGGAGAGCTAGGTGGAACAGACACTGATTGCTGCAGACCAGTAGTTGATGCTGGAATTATTGGAGTTGTGGATATTTCTTTTGGAGAGTCAGTACCCTTCAAAGGCTCAAACGTCTCACTGTTTTGCTCAGATGAAACATCCTTCAATACCAAAGCTCCAGTAGAGCCTTCTATATTGGAACCTGAATCTAATTCCGTCAAAGATGTGATACTGGAAAGTACAGGTGGTGCACTATTATATCTTGACGGTGGGTATGACACAAGCATTGGCTTAACATGAGAGGCATTGTTAGGAGGGATCCACCGAGATATGATATTAGGCTTTGCTTGTCTTGTAGGAGGGGCCTGAGGTTCTAGTTGATCACTCTTTGGTTTCACCAGAACAGAATCTAAATCTGGTTCAGGGTCAGGTGCAGCCTGTTTCTTTGAAGCATGCATTAGTTCCTCAGGTTTAGGTTGCGAAACGTCAGGTTTCAAGCTTTGCTCAAACATCTTAAACGACTTCTTCGGCGGAATAGTATTGTCTCTGTTTCCCTTATCTTCTATCTCTTCTAATTTGTCAATCACATCTTCTATAACTTCCCTGGTTTCTCTAGCTCTTGGCACATCAGCAGTAAATACCACTGAATCAATCTTCATGTCTCCATCATCAATTGCTATATCTTTCACTGTATTGATGTCAGAATTAATCTTATCTAATTTGTAGTTCACGTCATCCACTGCTATGTCCTTCACTGCATCTATACTAGAATACACCGTTGCATCCTGTTTATGAATCCCATCATCTGACGCACAATCTTGAAATGTAGGAGGATCCACATCCTCCCTCCAGACATCTTTCTGATCTGGTTTGTTGTGAGGAACTATCGAACTGCTGTCATTCACCTTTCCTTCCACCGCATCGATTGCATTGCTGAAGATCTCTTCAACCTCGAAAAATTCCTCTGGTGAAACACTTTCTAACTCACTCCCATATTCACTTGCTACTACTCTAGTGAGACCAGGTACAACAGCATCCGGATCCATAAAAAGTACCTGATAAAGATATAAGTACAATTCAACTCCTAGAGCTTGAGAAAAGAAAAAAATCGCAGTAAATATTTTCAGCCTACCTCTGCTCTGAAGTCCTTTGGAAATTGATCCTTGGCATCCCACAATACATCAATCTCATCACGGTATAACATTAAAATACTTGCTCGAACAAACGCTGTGTGGAACATAACTCTGAAGATCATCTCTTCCCGTACCAAATCTTCATCCAAATGAATGCACTCAAGCACAATATCCCCTTGAATACGGCAATGAATATCCATTTTCACCAATGCACACTCTTCCTGCAGAAAAACCTTATAAGAACATCCTGAATTTTGGGCATTTTAACTTTTTAGTTTCAATTGTGAGAGTAAGGCAACACCTTTAGAAAGTGACGAATTTGTTTTTCCTTCTTTGAAGTTGTAAACAGAAGCTTGGAACTTCGGTTGGCTGGTGTTTTCGGGTCCTGGCCATAAACACGGACAACTGGTCTGCACCCTTTTCTCCCTTCAAAGAGTGGAAGAACTCTAAGAATTAGGCAATCCAAAAATAGCGGTGTATCTGAGGGAGGCCAATCAGAACCCAAATTTCTTCTAGAAATATACTGAAGATATCTCAACTGGGAAGGCTGAGGGTTCAAAGGAGAAAGAAGCTGCAGAAGGTCCCGAGGAGCTTGCTTGTAGATCATTTCAAGAGTCTTCTGCTCACCAGTGTACTGTTTGCGATATAACAGAAGACCAGCAAGCATGAAAGCAAGTATGGGCCATCCCCCTCTTTCACAGTGCATCAAAAGCACATTCTGCTGTCCTTCCAATGACAACCAACTTTCACTCGATCGAAGAAAGTGGTGAATCATTTCAAGCGGCAGCAGCGGACATCCCTCATATTGCCGTGGGTAGTCCATAACAGTCATATCGTATTGAGTTAAAATGTCTGATACTTGGCTACGCTTCTCCCCTTCTCTGAAATTAAATACCATGAAAGAAGCATCAGGAAAATGGTCTTGTAGCTGCGCCACAATGCCACCCATGTACACCTTGTACTCATCTTCTTGCAACACATCCGTGGAGAAGCAACAGTCAAATACTGCAAAGCAACCAACCCGGAAGTTGAAACAAATAAGCAATTACTAACCATATGCCATCAAAAAGCAAAGCATCATTTACCAAGTTATTCAGTGTAAACTGTAAAGTTCCTTCCAAATGTTCACAAGATGATAAAAGCAAATTAGAGTTCCAAACAAAAATATCCATACCAAAAAAATGGTATTCAAACTCAATGCATTGATAAGAGACAGAGAGAGAGAATATCAGTTTCTTAGCTCCAAGTGATTTTGTAACAAACTTCAAAAGCAAATAAACTACTAATTCTACTTCAAGGCAACTAAGCCGCCCAATTTCAGCTCATCGCCCCAACAACCATGAAAACAAACAAGCTAAAAATCCGCCGAGTTTCTTAACTGTAATAAATTAACCCAAAATAAACCAACAAATCCCTAAAAATCAGGGAATTTAGCATTGCATTGTCCACATAAATCAACTTCAACAAAAAAGATATCGAACTACGAATTTTGAACACAAACATTCCTAAACAGAATCAGAGAACTAAAAAACTCGTCACCATTGGCACTTCTCGGGTAGAATAAAGATGGTTGCCACAATTTAAAGCTTAATCGAACAATAACAAATTAAGAAGAAAAGGAATACTAAGGATGAAAATGCTACCGTAGACTCGTTCTGAGATCTCGAGAAGCCGATCCGGCGGCTTCCGGTAAAACAGTCGTCTGAAAAGCGCCATCTGATGGCGCTTTAACTCCCCCGATCGGATCCAAAACTATTTTTTTCTTTCAATCACCACCAATCTGCTGAACTTTCTATTTGATCCTCCACCATTTCAACAAAACCAGCACAGATCCTCGATTCAGATTCTCAAATTCAATGATAACTTCCGTTACTCGTCAATAATTGAACCAACTCCGACGTCAAACCAAGCGCAATTATCCGTCAAAACCCTCTCCAAAACTCAATAAATTGTTTCCAAAATGAAAAACAAAGCTTTGTTGCCAAAGAATTGTACAAAATAATAGAGTCACTTTCCCAAAAAGAAAAATAAACTAAATTAGAGTAAATAATAAAACTTTGAGGGAAAGTTTGGTGCAGATTAAAAAAATTTAAAAAAATCAAAGGGAAAAAGTATGAGACAAGTGACAGTAGGCGATCAAAGAAGGTGGGGATTATGATGAAAAACAAATAAAGAAAATGAAATCTTCAGATTACAGAACCGATAGCCGTAATAAAATTTTATATTTTATTAGGAGAATGAAAAAGAGTAGACTGAAAGGGAAAATTACTCCTTGGACGGTTGGACCCGGGTTTTTATTACTTACGTGTACTCCACGTGGACCTCATTTGATAAAAACAACTTTTAGTCATTCAGTTTGCTAGACTTCTCAATTTGGTCCCTGAACGTTTTTATCTATACTAATCTTTGAATTTTAATTTTTAGTTCATTTTTAATTGTTTTGATAATGCGACCAAATGTTAGAGTGTCATACCGTCAAATTAAAAGGAAAAGTTGTTAAATTTAAAAATCAAGATGAACTAAAATAAAATTTAAGGAGTAAATTAAGAAATTAGTACAAATCAAAATAAATTTAAAATATTAAATTAAAATAATTGTCAAGTTGAAAACTCAAAAGTTACTTTATCCTTTAAAGTAGTTATAACTTTAATTACCGCGAGTGATTAAGATTTTAACGGCGAAAAAAAATTAATTTTTACTATATCTAGAAAAAAAAAAGGGGAATTTTGAGAGAAAGATACGATGGGGAAGAGAGATAACGATTATATATTCCTGAAAAAGGAAGTTTAGTTTTAATATTATTGAATTTGACTAAATTCAAAAAATTTAAAGTTACATTTGACTTGATTTGAAAAATTATCGAATTTAATTTAAACTTGAAATAAAAAAATTGAAGTTCGACTAGACTCAAAAATTTGTAAACTTAAAATTTTTAACTCGACTTGAAATAAAAAAAAGTGAAGCTCAACTTGAGCTCAAAAAATTTAAACTCGAAATATTCTTAGACTTCACTCGAATCAAGCTCAAACTCTAGTTCGAATTTGAACCTTAAGTAGATGAAAGTCTTATATTTTATTTAAAACAAAACGACATATAAATAATTATTAATAATTTAATTTTAAAATTTTAAGTTTCTTGTAAGCTTTTTAAGTTAGATATCAAATAACTCGTTAAGAATTCGAGTCGAATTCGATCTTAAATTGAATTTATTCGATTTGAATATTAACTGAACTAACTTTAATGGAATCAAACTCAAATAACTCATAATCTCTCTTATCTCATTTATAATCCCTTCTTTAAAGGAAAGTTATTTTAGTAATGTTTTTTTAAGTAAAAGCCGCTTGAATTTTTTTTCCTAATATCTATTTACTAGCTAAATTAATTTTATTTAAATTTATCATAAGAGTAATCTCTCAGATAAAGAAATTAATCTTATATATCTGAAAAATGTACTAAATTTAATTTAATTTTATCAACCTCTGCATTCTTATTGATGTTTACCTCCCTTTGTTTGTGTCTCAAGTTTTATTTTCTTTGATTTTCTTTACCTTATTATCTTACCCGACTTTCTATCTTGACACGAATAATAACGAAAATTACAATTAAAATAATATCAGTTTCCAATTTTCAGCACTTAATTTTCAAAAATAATGAAACAGTCACTAATTTATTCTTTTATAACAAATAAATCACTTGATTGTTGATTACTCTATTATTAGAAAATCGACGTGTTATGTTGGACAACTGAATTGTACTATTTGACCATGTTGACACCCTTTAACTTTTAACTCATGTTTTGACCAACCTCATTGACACCTTAAAAAAAAAATTATAAGAGATGATGGACCTATTTCCTCGTAACCTTGAGCGTTAAAATAATGTTAGAAAAATGTGATCATTTAATCCATTTTTTAAAGATGTCTATGTGGATGCTCATAGTAATATTCAAAAGTCAAAGGATTTCAAGATGGTCAAATAGTGCCAAATCAGTCCCCTAAACATGTCACATCAGTTTTATGTTAATTGGGTAACGACCGTTAATGGTCGAATGACTGTTCTGTTACTTTCAAGATTTTAATATTAAATACGAAAACTTACTCATATTTTGATGACCATAAAATGTAGTTTGCCCTTAATTTTTTTAGTAGCTTTGTTCGTTATCATTAACGGCAGCATCAGTGCTTACGTGGCCCAGTTTGGTCGAAATGTGTCCACAAGAATCAGCTGCGTCTCAGCTTATTTAATGTATCTACTACAACCATTTAGATCATGACACGATTCATAATAGAGTACTAATATTCCGGTCACCTCTTACGCGTTTGTGAAACCGAGAAACATGTGAACGTTTCTCCGAAAATAAATTCAAAGTCCGTTTGTTTTATATTTTTCTTATTTTTCAGTAGTTGGTTTGAGTAAAACTGATTGATAAATGTAAACAAAATTTAGTCAACAAAATTTCTTTTATGCTTTTTGAAAAATAATTTACGGTCTGATTTTTCGCAAGTCATTTTTTGAACTTTTAACTTCATATAATAAAAACTCAAAATTATTTTATTTTATAAATTTAATATTAATAAAATACTTTAATATCATTTTAATCAAAAAATTAATTATTAGAATATTTAAAATATATTTATTAATATTTCTAATAATATTATATTATATCTTTAATATTATAATAAAATAATCAATTATATTATAATAATATAAGATATTATATTATATTTTTATTTTAATAATATATAATAAATTATTAATAAAATTTATATTATTTATTAATTTCATAGAAATAATATTATTAAATAATTAATAATGAATAATATTATTTATATATTTAATATTAATTTAATAATCTAATAATATTTTAATAAATATATTTAAAATATACTAATTAATATTTTTAAAATATAATATAACACTGTTACTTTGATAAATAATTAATATAATTTATAATATTTTTATTTCAATAAAATATACCAATATTAATATTTTTATTAAAAAAATTAAAAAAATGTATTTTAATAATAAATAAATTATTTTAATATTTTAAAAATAATAATATTAAGTTTTATGCTAAATAATATTATTTGTAATAAAGAATTTTTAAAAAATTCATCAACTAATGAAAAAACGGTTTAAACAACATATTCCAAGCATCGTAAAACGTTTTCCAGAAAATATTTTTCAGAAACCGTTTTCAATGAAACAGTCGGACCCTTAGTGAAGCACATGGACGTAGATAGAGTGAATTTCATGAACGTACAAATCAAACATTCTAAAGGTTTGGATTTGGAATGTACACTACAATTGTTATCCAGTGGAGTTAATTCGTGAAATAAAAGTTTTAAATTTTAATTTTATTTCATTTTCATTTAAACAAAAAAGTCAATAAATTTAGTTGGGAAATGTTTTAACGTACATAAAAAATTAAATTTAAATATAAAATATCTAATGCCGATTAAAAATATATATTAGGGTTTAGGGTGGATCTTTCACCCTAAATAATGTCCCTTTCGGCCAAAAAAAATAACAATAAAAGTTGCTCCTAAAGCAAGTAACTAAATTTTTGAAAGAAACCTCGATTGAAAGTAATTATCAATCATTAAAAACAATTTTATTTACTTTTTTAATCTTACTCAAATTTTAAAACTTTTAAGAAGAAGGATAATTAATTGATGGGAAAAAATGTTTATAATATTCGACTGAATAATCATTTTAGTTCTTATTATCTTTTTAGTATTTTAGCCCCTAACCATTTCATTTTAAAAGAAAAAAACTCTACAATAAATGAAAATTGTTAGTCAATGAACAATTAATACTCATGGGATTTTAAAGAGAAAATATACTAAAATGACTATTTTATATATGTAGAGACATTCGTCAATATTTTCGAATCAAATTTATGAATGAGAATAACACCATTATGTTTGTATAATTCAACTTTATCGAAAATATACCTTTTTCTATTTTTTTTTCAATAAAATAGTAATATGCGTCATCGTTTTATTAGATAATATTGATTTAGTAAATAAAATAATATGTGATCATGTTGACTCATGATATGTGGGTGTACGATGTCAGCTTAATAGTCCAATGACTGAAGTACAATTTTTCTTAACGATAGTGACTATAATGAAACTTTTTAGATTTCAATAACCAAAGTTAAAGTATCCTAAAACTTAAATGACCACCAATATAATTTACTCTTTTTATTTGATAAATTATAATTAAATATTATCTGATAACACCTTTTGATTAAAATAAATAAAGAAAATATTAAAAGTCACTGCAATTAATTATTTATGTAATCACTATAATTTTCACACCTCCTTACTCTAATTACATTTTGCTTAAATGAGATTTATCGATTATAATAACTATTAAAACATATTAAAATGATATAATTATAAATAATTGAGTTAAAATCTAAGTACATTTTACTCCAATATTAACTATTTTCCTTGTTGTTTATATATTACCAAATAAAATGTTTATTTGACAATTATGGCTCACTGGAAATTTTAGCATCCACACCGTGCATGCCACGTGCAATATTTAATCATTTCATTTGTTTGGTAAAGTAATTATTTAACGTCAATCATGTCCCTAATAAATTATCACGTGCAACAACCTTAATATATGATTAAAATAAAGTGTTATTGATTTTATTATTATTTAAATAATAAAATCGGGTAAAAAATTACTGGAAATATTATTATTTTTACTTGTTTTATTACTATTGGGTGTTTTATCAGTTTTATTAATAAATTCAGTAAAGCGCTATTGATTTTGTTATTTTTTTCTACCGATTTTGTTATTATTGAACATTTTATCGGAAATGTTAAAAACATTGATGTTTTAGGTAAAAATAATAATATTTTAGATAATTTTTTATCGATTTTATTATTTAAATAATAACAAAACCAATAATATTTTTTAATTGTATATTAAGAATGACACACAGCATAACTTCCCCATATCCCCTTTTATTTAATGCTTTACACTAATGTGTGTGTAAGATATGTTTTTTAAGATATTAAATTCGTAGATATATTATTTGTTT